TAAAGCTCTGACAATTTCTGTAGAGGTGAGCAAATTAGAGGTGAAAACAGAATAGGACGTACCCACCGTAGCAATGTATTTCACACTGCAGACAATCTGTGTGTTGGTAGTTTGCTTCCTGGGGATCCTCACATATTTTGAAGTGACAATTGATTCGGAATCGTCGTTTTACGCTTCACAGCTTACAATCGAGGTAACACCAATGACATCTTAAATTCTGCCTAGAGATTATGTTATCATGGATTTGTAGTATTATCGTAGCATTGCAAAGTTTCATAAAAGCTGCATTCACTCACCAATGTTCTTTTAGCTTGCACTTCTTCTTTTGATACTCGCTGTTATTGCGTTCGAAAATGTTGGTACGTTCATTTGATCCGCTGAAAAATCCATAATAAATTAGGTATAATTGTGCAAACGTATGGTGTTTAAAGTTTCCGATGAAACTATGCCAAAACGAGTGACTAAATTAGATGCTGAAGAAGGGGCCGCTTACCTGAAAGGAAGGCTAGGCTTACGAGGGACCGAGACGTGGCACTTTTAGGCGGAGGGCGTGCCCACAGCGGCCTCAAGATCATTCAAAGCTCGGCCTCTCTGCTTAGTGACCGAATGATAACAGAAACATGCCCGATACTGATGCAACATCGTTCCCTGAGCATTCTGAAAAAGACCACGTAATTTTAAGTGGGGGGGGGGTTACGCAAATATCAAATAGGCATGAAGTTTGCTGGCATGATATCTTTGCCGAAAATCCAGCAAGCTCTGTCTCGACCGCAGGCAGGATGGGGTCCCATTTCGAAGATTTTAGGATGATTTCCTTTTGCTAACATTGAGGGCGGAAGTGGTGTAGTGGCAAGTGGCACGCTTACCACGCGAGCGGTCCGGGGATCAAATCCTGGGTCGTGAGTCGCCCGGGCCAACCAAGCCTTCCATCCCTCCGGGGTCGGTTAATTGGTACCAGACTTGTCTGGGAGGATAAAAACACTGACTTGTACATCGGCTGGCCCCCGCAAGTCATTGTATAGGCCACATCGCATTCAAACGCCACTACGAATGTACAAATGGAAGTAGAATGCGTGCCGCATCCCAAAAAGGGATTGATCAACGGCAAATGCTTTATCCTTTATCCTTATCCAACATTGCTCCACTTGCCGCGTCTATTTTCTTTCGTTAAGGCGACCAGTTTACGATCTGCCTTTGGAACGCACGTTATATCAACTTTGTGGAAAATACCGCTACGTGTGCTATGTGAGACACCCCACCGCGGGAAAAATGGCTGGACATTGGAGTCAGTTGAGGGCTACATCCATAATGCGATTGTTTAGTCAATGGTTTTGTCAAGAGGGTCACACCAATGAGGGTCGCATCAATGCGAAAATCAACGGGCAAAGAAAGGGTTCTACGACGTCTCTCATGATTTCTTCTTCATCCCTGACCCCTGAGCATCCCCTACCGTGGTTTCTAATCGGCTGTCTTTTCATCACAACTCTGCTTTTAAAAGGGTGATTGACATTGGAAACTACTTTGCGCTTTTTAAGGCCAAACTTCTCTTGAAGAAAATGAAGCTATGCGTTTTTCTCTCTATTGGCTCACTTCAGGTCTACGTCTTCTTTTACTTCTTGCCGTAGTCGTTGCGCTGTTCATAAATGTATTCGAAGTTGGCTACTTTCTGCTCTACAATCGCCATTCGCCAGAGTGTCGTAACATATATATGTTTGGGTAAGCTGAAGAAAATTGCTTCCATACAGCATTCAAAATTCTAATCGTTCCAGCATCAAAGTATGTATCTCCACACAACCTCCATTTACGCACCACAGTACTGTAGCCGCTAGTTTCCTTGCATTATTCCACGTGATCCTGATTGTTCTGGCCACTGTAAGACCATCTTTCAAGTCAAATTCACGAACAGTTTTGCATGTCAGGGGAAGATCTCACAATCGTTCATAACCTCGTATTTAGGGCTTACTGGCATCGCATCCAGGCACACTGTGCGATCTAGTGGAACGAACCAACCCGCAGGTGGTTAGGCGCTACTTGCGACAGGTAAAAATGTAGTACGTGTCCTTTTCTGCTGGCTTGTTTCCATTTGTTTGCATATATTATACATCAATCAATATTATTTTTTTAAAGAGAAGTAGGAGTGCTAGGCTGCAAAGGCAACAAATGAGAGCACTTCGGAGTCAAAGAAGTGAAAGGCAACAGATTGCCTCACAACGAGAACAGCCTAGTGTGTCAAGGAGTGAAAGGAGTTCGAGGTCTGCTTCCAGAAGATCACGCCGCAGTGGAACAAGAAGCGTCACGACCGTCTCAGTATCTGTGCCAACGGCCCTTAATTTCCCTTCAGTTAATGTGTGTATTTAGGACCGTTTCCCGATCGCCTGCAACCCTTGTGAGTTTATCCTTCAAGCCATTGCACTAGATGCACTCTCAGTAAGGTATGCGTAAAAATCAGCGTGAAAGAGTCTGTAAGCTGTAAGCTTGCCTGGTCAGATTCTATGGCTATTCCATGACACGCTTGACATTTCATTGGGAATAAGATCCTTGAGCATGGTTTAGATCGATTTACTCGTAGCTGCAAAGGCAAGCTCAGCCCATCCGATGCATCTTCAGAGCATAGGATACCTATAAGAATTTTAATCAGCTATACACAAGCGAAATATTGGTAGGGTCCATTACTTCAAAAATTTCGCAGATTTAACTTCCTACAGACGCGTTTCAAAAATTCAAACCCCAGTAACTACTTCAGTATACTTACGTTAAATCCAAAACTGTTTTTTGTTCTATTGCTAGCTATACCAGACTTCTTTCGTACACTGCAAATTGGATCCCAAAGAGAGATGATGGGAGGGCAGCGCAACCTTTTTGATTTCATTACTTCAAAGGGCGGAAGAGGGACTCAAGCTTATTCGGTGATGTGCTCGGCAAAGTGGTACATAGCGAACTTTTGTACTCCTAGCGATTTGACTTTATCTTCAGGCTACTAATTCAAGGTGAATGAAGCTGCGCGTGTATACTCACTATCATCAACTTCGCTCTTGTAAAACCAGATTCGTTGGAGGTTGTCGCCAGTTACTCGGTCTCGGAATGGTGCGAAAGCATCAGGATTAGCTTATTGCTCGACCTTCATCTCCCAGGAGCGCAATCATCATACTTGGAGAAGGATAGAAGGGGTCGTGTCCATGACTTCATGAGATGACATGTGTGGGAGCCGTCCAACCTCGGAGTACCCAGCGGTGAAACTCTTCACTGTGTAAAGTGCTTGTATTCGCAATGAATTCATATCCAGAATATTGCTACTGCAAAACTTGGTGCATTATTGTGAACGGTTTTTGAATATCATGCCTTCCGATTTAGGACATCACAAAATTACCAGATGGAACAAGGTTTAAAACGGTGAGTTGTGATGTGAATTTGTATTGTTCTGTATTAGTTTTGGGACCTTATCTAACAAGTAAGATCAGTGCTTTTTAGACTAACAATAAGTCGTTCCATATGGAGTACTACGTGGAGAATGGTGTGTTCGTCGGATCTGGCACGGAAACCACCAACAAAGCGGTAGGTTACCAATGATAAGTCAGTGTCAGTCACCTGGGGCCTGTAAGGAAACCACAGTTTCACTACTCTTTCTCCATCTATAATAAAGGAAGTCAGCGGTATGAGAGCAGCGAAAAACACCGTTCGGTGATTTGATTTGCTGCCTCAGAAGCCTCTGCAGGGACCAACTCGCAGGGTCAGTAGAAGTAGACTGGTAGGCGGCAAGTAATGAACATATTTGTATTCATAGAAGCGTTCAGACTAGATAGCCCAATTAATCCTTCCTAATCTGTTCGTTGGCGACATAATGGAGTCGGAGAGAGAGTCAATACGATGGTAACTTAAAAACCCACATAAACTTGACTTTATTGCACAGCATAGTGAACGTAGCGAAACGAACCTGAAGGCACACTCCATCATTACTTCATAATAATCCCATCCGTGAACGCTGTAACAGAGTTCGCATGAACAGGGGTCGTGTCGTTTCCACGACTCAAAATTGAGGAGCGAGGGCACTACGCCTTTTCAGGAGGTAAGCAAACCAGCCCTTTTGGCGTTTCGGCTGGGACCGTATGCTGAATGTTGGGGAGGGGATGGGGTCCCCAACGGTCGACGGTTTACTTCAACTCGGTTGGTACGATAGGAGAGTACTGACGCAAGTGGTGCAGCTGGTCCAGCAGCTCCGCCAGAAGGGCTGGTTTGCTCACCCCAGGACTAAGCCTTGGAGAGGGGACGGACCCGTCCTCTCTTTAAGGCTTAGTTCTGAGGTAAGCACCAAATTGTGGCGGTTCTAAGGACCGAGTTGAAGTGGTCCGTCCACCGTCGGGGACTCCATCCCCTCCCCAACATTCAGCATACGGTCCCAGCCGAAGCGCCAAAAGGGCTGGTTTGCTTACGTCCCTTTTCAGATGCTCCCGCTTGTTTCCAGCGTGCTTCCCTCCCTTTCCCTTGTGGCGTATATTTCCCCTTATCCGTAGGGCGCTCTCTCGCGCATTGTCCCTCCTTGGCACGGTTTGTTCTCCGACGTACCACGGTCGAGCTAGCAAAGGAAAGCTGCCCTCAATTTCAGTGCTTTCTATGGCTCCAATTCTTCTACTTTGACGGTCCCCTGCGCACATTTGCTTTCATATTCCAGCGAAGTAAACGTAATTTTTTATTGCGGAATGTACGTCTTTAACGAAGATGGTTCCCGTTCTAAAATAATCGCTTTACTCGTCACCGTGATGTGTGACTCCACTGTAACTATTCATTAAAGTACTACAAAAAGGCCCAAAGTTCAACAAAGAAACAAATGTTTCACTGCTTCCAAATGTTCAACCACTGAAGGGCTAGTTAGAAAGGTTTCGCCTTAGTTTGATAAACCATTTCTACGCAGCCAGTGTCATTAGATTGAACGAGCTAGCAATATGTAGTACCATATTCAGATATAACGGAGAGTACATTTCCAAGTGTGACCCCACCATTCCCATCACTTCTCAACGCGTACATCCCTGTCGTTTTCACCCTTACCTAAACTATATGAATTGCTGAGGAGAATCCTAATCTTTTGAAAATTCCTCAAAGATTCTTCTCATCTGGACACCCTCTCACTACAACTATGGCCTCATACATCATTCCAAATAAAGGCCCCTCGTTCAACTTTCGAGATTTCCTGGACGCTTGATCTCAAGGCGTACACACTAGAAAGCTGCGGGGCGACATCGTCCACGACTCACCTGATTGTGACTTCGGAAGAGCTAATCAACAGGCCCCAAGGCTTCCAACAAGGCTGCTTCGATTTCCAAATAGAGGTGTTGCGCCCGTCCAACTGGATCACCGCTGGTGACAGTAAGGGACCTGCTCACTCACAATCCATATAATCTTCAGCCGATGACCCGCAACTGCTTACA